AATTAACCTCTTTCACTTGTGAAGTTGGCAAGACTCTGACATACATTTCTTCCGACTGTGAGGAATACTCAGAATGTTTCTCTCTGCACACCTTGTGTCATTGTGGCAAAAGCAAGTGGGTCGATCTAAAAAGTGTTTATTTCTAAGAAAGCTAAAGAAACGGAATATCAAAAGACTATTTGTGTTTATGTAGCACACGGTAGTTTATCCGTAAGTATGTGACAATAGGAAGTGAGTGACTGGGAAGAAAATCAGCTTCCGCCTGACTTAAACTATTATATCAGCCATTATAGAACTGACCTTCTAGACCACTTGTCTCTATTTGCCAGCCAAGGAAAACACCTCTTTTCACTCATCTCTGCAGCTTGTTGATTTTATTCCCCCCTCTGTGACTGCCTTCTCTTGTGTAATCACAAGAAAACAGAGGAACAGGGAGAGATGGTAGGAGACTTAGGGGGAGAGAAAACAGAGAAAAGTAATTAAAACAGAGTGCTGGAGAAAGAGGAGCGTGCTGGCCTGTGACCGATAGATGCAGCTGCACTGAACCGAAGACCCCGATGGGATTAACAGGGGTCTAATGCTCTGAGGATGCTGGGTAATGGCTTGTTCTGCTGGGTTCGTGTATATATGCGCAAGTATGTGTTGGTGCATCTATGACATGTCTTTGGAAGAACAGCATTTTTGAATTTACCTAAGTGTGTGTGAATGTAAGGACTTGTTTGTCTGTGTGTGAAGAGTTTGTGCATTGCTGAGAAGATGGTACTTAAAAAGAAAACAAGAACAGAAAAAGCAAAGAAAGGGTGGTGAGCTGACAGGGAAGCAGTTGATGTTTTTTTATGGACTGCAGTCAAGAAAGCCATGGAGTGATAAGCAAACTGCAGAGGCCCTGATTTTTACTGACAAAGCTAACTCAATCTGTCTGTCACTCAGCGCGTGGGCTCACTTTGTCTTGTTTCTAAATCCCTTGTTCCACGCTTCATCCCAAAAGGATTTGAGAGATCCACTTCACAGACTAATTAAGCTTTATCAATCAATTGGTAGGTGGCACAGTGCACAACACTATACAACCTTTCCTGCAAGAGAAGCAGACTAAAAAAGATGGAAAGATTAATTCGAATAAAGAAGTGGTGACAACGCAATGTTCCACAACGTACCAAATTCACTAAGTTTTTATTTCATGTACCGCCACAACAACACTGTGATGTCAAATGACTTTCCATTTTAAATGAGGCAAAGCCAACACCAGCTGCCATTGCCATACTATGTATTTCACATACGGACATGTCCCTATTATTCACACTTCATTCTACACCTTTGTAATAAAGATTTAACATTATTCAGAATTTATAAGTAAGTAGTTGTGTAATTCATTGGGAAAGGTTATGTAGGCTTTACCCAATTTTTATTACTATATCGTAGCTGTTAAATTTAGATACTCTTTACTTAAATAAAACGGTAAAAAATCTCACCACCTAAAAAAACTGAGTGCAAATTGTTACCTCACTTTTATGGAGCAGATTCTATGAGTTTGCTTTTACCGTGGAAAATGAATAATTAACTTGTTTAACACCTTGAAATTGGAAGCTTGCTATGGTAGGAACTCTGCAATGATTTGGGGTTTCTTGTACTCACCCATTACAAATATCATCCACCTCTCAGTCTCTGAAGGGATTTATCCAGAGACATACTAAACTGCTATTGTGTCACTAATATGTATGGCAGATGACCCCAGGCTTGTCAGCAACTATAGCCTATTAGAACTCTGCCTGTCGTATTCAAGGTGGTGGAGAAGCATGTCAGATCCGATTGTCTCTTGTAATAATTCTTTTACCTTCCCATGTAATTTGGATTGAGAGCTAATCAGTCCACAGAGACTGCTACCCATTTCTTTAGGGAAAAGATTATATCAATGATGGATAAGGTTAGTAGTGAAGGAGCTGTTTTTCTTGATCTTGGAAATCTTTCAACAGCGTAAATAATTGTATATCAAACTATCCCCTTTTAATTTTTCACACAAGTCTATTACAGGAACAGAATCATATTTAAAAGGGAGATTGCACTGTGTAGGTTCACAATCTTAAGTCCACTGATTTTAACATCAGCACTGTTTTTCCACAAGGATCTTTGCTCAGACCACTGTAACTTAGTTTTTATATCAATCATCCACCCTCAGTTCTGATGTACAGATCCAGCTATATGCTGATGACATATTGTTTTATGTGAATGGCTGCACTAAGCAGCAAGTTGCTCTCAAAATTCAGGGTGAAATGTGCCACATGTCCTAATCTATCATGTCTCAAGCTAAATGTAATCAAAACCGTATGTATGTCCTTCTCAAAATGGATCATACACCATTCCAGAGCCAGGTATAATGACATCAGGGGAAAATGCTGTGACTAAGTCTGAGTACCTGGAAGTCTGGATTGATTCAGTTTTTCCTTTAGAACTTGTTAGCTTGCTCAAGTATGCCAACGGGTTAAGTTAAAGTCATTTTAGCTAAAGTAGTAGTAACTCAAAGAACCTTGAGACAGCTATGATGAAAGCTATGACCATCGCATATTTCACATTTAGTGAGACAAATGAGGTACAGACTAACAAATCAGCAATGGAATCACTTGCAATTATATATATATATATGCATTCTTGAAGTTATAGATCAGAAACCCAACAGATTTCATGACTTTCAAATTTTAAATATAGACTTCTGAGCTGGGAATGCTGTGTTAAATATATTATTTTTGCCTCATTTTCAAGATATTATACAATACTGCCCCCTCCGAATGACCATTATCAGACAAAGAACACTCCGGTTACCACAGGTACTAAAAAAAGTGACCGCACCATTCTGATCTGAAAAAGTACTGTCAGTGAGTCAGTATTTTTGCAACAGCATCTGAAGAATGTAATTTACTACCACTAAATATCAGAGAATCAACAATTACCATTTTCTACTATTTGGTTAAAATTGTAGCTTATTAAAACTCAAAGATGTGAACATTAGATTACCAGCTACCTATAACGTTCCAGTCATTAATCTGTTCTTCACTGACTTTTTTTCTTTTTTCTTCTTATAATTTTTTATGTAGTGATCTCATTTATTTGTGGTTTTGCTGCATCATTTTGTTGGTGAGTATTATCCTGGGTGTTCTGGTTTTGTATTAGTCTGTATGTATGATCTGTAGGTGTTCACTTTGATATGTAATTTTTTTTTCTAATTTTCTGCTGCCATTTTAAAACTGTTCAGGAACAACTGATGACAATCAGCCTATAGGGTTAACTCTGGCTCATTTACAGTATTTACTGTTTCTGTCAAATAAATGAAAAAAAAAAAAAAAAAATAAATAAGATGCTTGATGGAGAAGTTTAGACTGTGAAGGCTTGTCATCTATAATGATTTTGCGACATGTATTAATTTGGCACAAGACAAGTCAATCTTTACATTCACATGTCAGATATTTCTCATTCCAGTAAGTGCAGAGAAATGCTCTCTCCTGCAAAAAAAAATAAAAAATCACAACTGCAGAAAAAACTGACAAGTTTCTGAGATATTCTTCAACCAAACAAAAAAAAAACAAAAAAAAAACCAGATATATAAAAAAAACACCCCTATTTGGCAGACATGAAACGAAAAAAATGTTTAGAATTCACTTAGAAGCTTAAAATGATCTTTAGATGTTCTCTGAAATTCTCCTGCTTTATCCTCTCACCTGATCAGCATTCCTGCCACCCGTCACATATCCTACTGGTCTTTGGGCATGGCAGTTTATTTGCTCTGTTTTGCTCCTGCTTGGTCTCTCTCTCCTCACACACATTCTATCTCTGCCAAATCCTTCAATCTCCCTCTGTTTCTCTTTTCTTCCTTACCTCCTCCCCTTCCTTTCTCCTATTCCCCTTCTCTGTGATAAGATAGACTACTGTTCGGCTGGTGCCTCGACCTGCTGAATTTCAAATAGGCCCCTTTGACAAAAACCCAAAGCCACGGTCTCCCCTCCCTGCTCTCCCAGAATATTAACTAGTCCTGCAGCAGTGCCAACAATCCTGCACTCCTCAGCCCACCATAGCCCTGCAGACCTGTTTGTTGCATTAAGCAAATGAACAAACGAGTGGTGGGTGGATCATTCCTCTCTGATCAGGAGGTCAGTACATTCTGGTTGTACTTAACAGAGACACATATCCGCTTCCTAATGGTGGCCATACTGTAGATCCTTAATTAACGACCGACAGTGGCTTAAGTCACGTGACTGTAACCACGCCTGAGTAACGAAATGCTGTGCTTTTGCATGTGCACAGATCGTTGGTCTCCTTAGTCTCTGCTGATAAAGCACAGGCCATATAAAGACCTCTGTATTCACTTGACTGGTATAACAAGTGTTGATAAGTTACTGGTACATACAAACAAAATGTCATGTTGTAACACTGAGGACACTCAGTAATACATCCTTAAAAAAATATGATCCACACCCTCATGTCCCACTCAGAAAAGACCCCTCTTTTCTATGTTAACCTACTAGGCAGGAGCCACTGAACGAGATTGCTGACAACCATCACTGAGAGTTCATCACATGACAGCTTTTAGAGACTACATAGTTGAACCCGTAGTCACTACATAGTTGTTCATCTAGTCTAGTCTTGACTGTGATAACCTGTACAGAGCGTTTGCAAAAGTAAAGTTAAGGGTTTCATTTCTCCTTACAAATTACAAATCAACTAATACATGAAAAGCAACTGCAAAAATATGGTAAATAAAATATATACTTTACATAGGAACACTGCAATATTGACATAGCATGTGACATGCTTTTATAAAAGAGTATATGAAAACTAACAATAGACTAGACAAAAAAAAGCTTAATTTAGAAAAGAAACCCCTGTATATGCACCTAGAGAGGAATGATGCCACCCACAACTACGCTGAATGAACTAGATCCTACAAAAGTTGCAGAAAGGAAATCTGGGACAGGGAAGCAGGAAAAAAAAGCAAGTCCAAAAAGGCACATTACCTTGTTGATCCAGGTCTCAAACTTAGAGTCTTCAGTTGTCAGGAACAAATCTGAACAGGACACAACAGACAGAAAGAAGAAAGGATTCAAGTCAAATCAATTAAGTAATGCTCAGACACATCTAGTAATTATAATCAAACAAGGAATTATTGAGCTATAATGAAGAGAATGCAGTGGATTAGTGGGAATAACAGAACTGAAAATATACACTGCTCTATAGTTATGCACATTTGTACCTTTGGAGACCTGATGAATTGATTATGAAAAAAGAACAACAGATCGATGAAGAGTCACTAGCTGCTTGGACAACTAATGTTGCTTTATTTATCCGCTTACACTTAAAGATTTGGAACATATTTATAGCAGCAAAGAACTATTTGCTATGCAAAGATATAGTGGAGTAATGGTATACTCAGCAGAAGTCTGTGGGGTGTAAACCACATCTCATCCCTCCATTTGAAACTGCTAGACCTCTCTGTGCTTATGAACAGATCAAGAGTGACCTCCCATACTGCAGTGTGACGCCAAGAGGCAGGCTCCAGAAGTCAGCCAATCCCCATGGACCACATGTTAAAATGGCCAACTTCACAGTAGAAACTGTAGAAATCAACATGTTTTTGGTTCTTCATCACCAAGAATGAACCAAAATGCAATTTTTTAAAATTATATTTTTGTGAAGAAGGTGCATGTGTTTAAATAGTTCCATCATTGAAAATTCATAGGACACACACACACACACACACACACACACACACATATATATATATATATATTATAGGGGGTGACATGTTAACACTTAACATTTAAACAGCTTTAGAAAACATAACAGTGGAATGTAAACATTTCAAAGTTTGGTTAATAAGACTGATCGGTTTTAACTACTCTCTTCCAGTCTGGCACTAAAAGACAGTGCTTGTTCAATATGCAGTAGGGGTGGATTTCCTACATGAATTGGCATCTCAAAGCAGTTGAAGGAAAAACAGGTGAAAAGAAGGAAAAGGTATAGAGGAGGGATCTCCTGCTCAAAGCAACTGGATTTCACTCAGCTTTCTGGAGTCTTCACCCCCTGGTAATGCCTGTAGCTCGCTCTATTGGAATCCTATAACCTGCACTTGTACTCGTATTGCTTGCTCTTGAAGCTTAGACTGCAGGCTGCACATCTAATGCGGTTTCTGTGTGAGAGGGCGTTTACTTTCATCGCTGCGTTCTGTGGACTGCGGTTCGGCCCCAGTAATTGGACGTGAAATAAATATTGGCATTGATCTGCCTTAGGGCCCTGCTATGCTCCATGTGTTGCCGTGCTCTGCAAAGGAGAATACAAATGATAATGGAATGGGGGGGAAGCAAAGGCAGGAAAGGGTGGAGCAGTAGTGACAGGAAGAATGAAGGTTGTGCTTAATGACAAGCTGGAAATCCTATATCATGTAAAAAAAAAACTCCGTAAACTCTCTGAAGCCAACTGCAAGTTCAAGATGCCGCAGTGTGACTAAAATGGAAATGAATAAATAAAATACAGTAATTAATAATAACAAAAAACAACATATATAATAGATAAAAAATATTGTCTCTTTCACTGGCTACATGCAGGTGTATTGACTGACAAGTGTTCCTCTTTGAGAATACCAATTTAACCAGCCTTGTATTCTGACATGCCCAGAGACTTCTGGTCCCATCATCCCCAGAACCAAGAAGGGCCTCACCTGACGGGGTAACCTTTCTCTGGGTGAGCTCCACTCTCCAGCAACATACAACCAGCTCATGTAAGTGATTATTTTCTTTAAATCAGATCATTCTGGGAAATAAGTGTTTCATGTTTCCTACTTGTGTTCCAAAGTCTTTTGTACTTTTGTAAGCATTGGTACTTCCCACTGTGGCAGGTCATCCGAACAAGCCGGATTTCATTGATTTGACTATAGTTAACTGGCCCTCCAATGCAATATCTTTTCATCAATTTATTTAAATAGAGCTTTGATGGTACAAACTATTACCAGATACAGATTATAATATAGTAAGTATACTAACAGTATATACATTTCCAGATTTATTGCCAGCTGCTAAGAGATACTACTAATAATATTATACATTAATCAATTATCATTTATTTTCCCAAAAATGCAATTTAAGGCTTTGGCGTCTTTGTGTTTACCCAGAGGCACAGAGGGCGGCCATGTGCAGCTGCTACCTAGTTTTTTTAAAAAAAAGTGCTTATGGTGGTAAAACAGTTCAACTTCAACTTTAAATTTTCTAAACTTTATGCACTTCAGGTATATTGCCAACACAGACTCAGACCTTTTTACAAATGCAAAAAAGATAACAAATGCATGCACAGATTATGCATATGTGCACACACACACTACAAGATACACAGCAATTTGCACACTGTGTGTATGTGCTTGTCCATGTTACTGTGCGTGCTAGTCACACCGGGTGGTGTGTTGATGAGCTTGGTTAATCAGCAAATCAAGCCTCTTAGACAGAATCCAGCAGTGATTGGCTGATTAGGTGTGATGGCAGTGTGTCAAAGAGAGGCATGGAGCAGCCAAGAGATGCACAGAAAGATTTTCATCTTGTAAACACTTAACATTCTCGCTTTGGAGCTACTCCCCCTTTTTGCTCATCTCACCATTTTCCTCATCTTTTTCAAACAAATTTTACTTTACTTACATTCACCATTGCCAAGCTTTCTTCTCCACAATTTTCTCAATATTTAGTCTGTTACCAAATTTAGTCCAACTTGAAAGGTCACCGCAGTTCCCATTCCTTTGTTGTTTTGATCTTCACCACTGTCGAGCAGTGTATTGAGACTGTAAACTGACAACTCTAAAGCGAGAAGTGCCCTTGAGCACTCACCACATTTTAGCCTGTATTCACCTTGGTCATTTCACCATGGCTGGCTCTGCTTACCCATCTGTCCTGAGAGGGAATGCATTTTAGAAGCGTGTCAAGGGGGGTATGGAGGCAGAAAAGCTAATACCACCTGGTAAACTAAGCAATAAGGTAATCTTACAGTGATTCTTTTAACATTATCCATTTCAGTGAATTGTCCTTTTCCACCCTCCCTTACCTAACTCATGTTCCTTGCCAGAGAGTATTCTGCACAGTCTTATAAAGAGCTGCTAGCTAGCAATATAAACCTAAGTGCTGCCCCCATCACTCACTTTAACACAGTTTCACTGTTCCAGCGACTTTTACTGGACTGCCAAGGGTCTTTTAGGGACTCATTCAAGTTAAAAGAGATATTATAAAGGAGAATATAGCAGAAAATGGATACTAAAGGATATACTTTGTGTAACTGAGCTGTTCATTTGTTTTGCCATTACTGCACTTGACCACAATTTCATTTTTGCAATTGCGTTTTGTTTTACATTAGTGTGCACACAATTGCACTCACATTTATATCTCTATTATTCTTTCTAGTTCCACTGGAATCTTTTCCAGTCATGATAAGCATCCACATCAATCTCTTTTCAAGTATTATTCCTATATTTAAGTTTAAGTGGAAGACTCAAACACTTTTACATTTTAATAAATTTCTGCCAAGTCACTATCATCAAATAAGGTAACAGTGAGGGGGTACCATCATTTTTGTCCAGGCCTGTTTCATGAGTGTATTTTTTAAAATAATTCTGTTAAACCACAGTTCAAAAGCAATGTCTGATTTTCATTGTTACATTTTCATAGAATTTTTATTTATTATTACTTTTGTCAGATTCAAGTTGTTTCTGTGACCATTGAGGGTTTTTCTTTCATTAACTGAGGGGTACCAACAATTTTGTCCACATGTGTAGCTTTGGACAAGTACCACCACATGTGTGACTAAGTTGTAGAAAGTTGTATAAAATCTTTTGTGGCTACAGAAATAGCAGCAAGTCTGGTAAACTGCACTGATTGGGATTGAAAACTAAAGGTCTCAAAAAGAAAAAAATGCAAGGATTGGTAGTTTATACATTAAATAGATGTATGGTTTAGGGACAGTCCGATTATTGACCTGGCCAATTATTGTAGCCGATATTAAGCTTTTCACCAAATATCAGTACTGGCAAATTATTGACTGATTGTTGATAAACTAAATGCACTACTTCACATCAGATGTAGCCCTCTCTCTGTCTGTTGTCCCTTTGTGGTCTCAGAAATGTGTCTCAAGCAAAGACTGGAAAAACTGAACAAGAAACACAAGCCAAAATGAGCTACTCTCACAGTGGCTAAGGCTAAGCCAACGGCCAGTGGCTAAGTTAGAAGGCAGCCACAAGTTACCTCAAGTCTGGAAAACAATATTTAACAAGGCTTTAAGATATGGACCTGAGCAGAGGGATAAAATTGTGAAAGATTAATAAAATAGTGAAGAACAGCAAACTTAACTGCAGGAGACAAACTGATAGGTCTCAGTCGATCCCACATAAACAGAGCAGAGCGTCTTAATTTAATCCCTCCTATTTCTAGTTTACATACTGATTCTAAATTATCCTGTGAATGTGAGTGTGCATGGTTGTCTGTCTCTAAGTGTAGCCCTGTGATAGACTGGTGACCTGTCCTGGTGTCCCCTGCCTTCACCCTCAGTCAGCTGGGATAGACTCCAGCCCCCTGCTACTCTAGTGAGGATTAAGCGGTGTATAGATGAAGGATATTCAGTTAATGTCACCCTTATTATTGAAACCTGCTATCACATGCTGTTAAAGCAATACATTTAATGTATATCGCCCCCAAATATCGGTTATCAGCCTTTCTTAATTATCAGTATTCAGCATCGGTATCGGCCCTAAGAACCCCACATCTGTTGACCTTGTCAAGTTATAATATATCTGTGGTTCTGCTGCGTGAGTTTAACCCTATTTGTTTTAAAACTGCCTACTGTAGTTTGGACTGCTTTAGCAACTGAAGCATCTTCATGGATTCCTTCAGTTCCTCATGAAAAGCCTTATTGACTGGTCACCACCTTTCACATTCAGGTGACAACTTCAGGATATTAAAGGGGTGCTCCACCTACATGTCAAACACAGGTCACCCAGTCCCAAGAGGAGATTTCACTTCTCCTTTATCCACACTCATACTC